GACATGAATTCACTATAGGTCTCCTGTCTTCACTTTAAAAGGCCACCCAGTCACACCAGGAACAGAGTTATTTTTCTCTTTTTCTGTTTATTTGCTCATTTCTTACCTGACAACTTATTTTTTCCAGGCTGTTTCCCAATCAGCCTTAGCAGCTAGAGAAAAAAGCAAGATTTCATGCTGGGTTCCTGTTCAGCTACAAACATGCTTTGTCCATTGATAGGTGAAGCTCTCCTTCTACTAGTCACCTGCTCTGATATCAGACGCCTCAAGACATGAGGGATGGCACCTCCACTGGGCTGGGCTATCGGGTATTTCCCCATTCCACAGCCATACCTGGTGCCCCCCAACAAATCCTGAGAAATGGGTGAGCGAGGAAGCTGGCTGGGGAGAACTGAAAGGAGGGGTGGCATCGTGGCACCAGAACATCACCAAGTGGCTCTGAAGGGATTTAACTGTGGTCTTGATTAAAGCTGCTTGCAGGGATGACTTTTGTCTCAAATATGAAGCAGTGTGCACCTCTTGATAGACTTCTCACACCCTATGGATCCAGGAATCCCAACAGAAAATATGTCAAGCCTCTTCTACAAGCAAAGGAAAATGCACACAATCCTCAGGCAGGTTTTCTGGCTTCCATTTCACCCGTGGAGAGACTTGCTTCATTGACTAAAGCTGGTTTTAATCTTAAAGCAAATTAGCAAAACATGAATATGTGCTCCAGATGTCAAGGACTTCCATGGTCCAACCACTGCAGTCTTGTGGAGTAGAGCATGCAGAGGTTGTAGCCAAGCCAAGGAAATCCTCTTGACTTTGATTGGTGCTGTGATCTTAATTAAGTCACCAGCATCCTTAATTTTTCTAATCTAAATAAAGTGGATGACACTAGTCAAAGTGTTTAATGCAGTTAGCAAAGCCCTCTGCAGAAGCAGCCCTTGGCAAAAGCTTCTACCCAGGGGTTTGGGAGATGTTATTACCTTGTAATTTTTTTTTCCCCAGAATGCCTCTGATGTCTGTGCAGCACTCTATTAAACAAAATCTTTTTATAAATCACCTTGATGAGGATTGCTACAAAAAGAGGATTTTTGTTTGATGAACAAATAAGACATGAAATAAACACCTCTATAGCTAAGCAACCTTGAGGTGATGAATAAAACAGAATTACAGAATATGCAGCTGGAGTGAAGTTTAAGGACCAATCAGCTGTCTCTCTAATCTAATATCTATTTCTAAGACCTTCTTCGATGGAGGTTTCACTGACTCAATCAATCTATATCTATATGGCATATTTTTATGCATTTTGTTTTTTTTAATTATCAACCTGCATTCTGTGCTGTAGTTTTGGTTCACAGACTTCTGGCCAATCTGTAGTGGATTTGAAGAAGAGATTTTTCTTTTCCTTCTTTATGTGAGTCTTTTTTGTGTCTTCTATGCTCCTATTTTCCTTCAATCTGTTTTTTTTTCTAAACAACTTCATTCAGTCAGTCTTTTTGCCTGTCTGTGTCTTCTAGACTGCTGCCAACTCATTGCTCTGGGTCTCTCTGGAAGCACAGTGCCCAGGAGTGGGCACAGAGGAAGGATTAGAGCAGAGGCACACAGGACTAATGTCACTCCCATGGTGGTGGTTCTTGCTCTTGTGACTTATTAAACAATGACATTTTTATCATTTTATCATTTATAATTGTGATATTATGAAGTCATGCCCCACTTGTGGGACACTTCACGTGCTGCATGTGGGGAGGATGTTTTGGAGGCTGACCCAACCCAAAGTTCTTACACTCACTTCTCCTTTGTTGAACAGCATCTTGAGTTTTTTTTTTTTTCCCCAGTGTATGTTTCCAACTCATCAAGATAATTCTGGATTCTGATTCTAGCCTTTTGAAGGTCTTCATGACATTGGGCATCCCATTAATAACCACAGAAGTTTTCATTCTGCAAGCTAACGTTGAGAGAGGCTGCAGTGATTTCAGTTTCCTGTTATTATAGCCCCTTAATCCTCACAAATGAGATCTTTTCCTCTTCTCTCTGAATGACAGCTACCACAAATAGATTAATAGAAACTTTGGGTTTATTCCTTTATCTATAACCTTTCAAACTTACCTCTCCTATATTCAGCTTTTGTACCTTTTAAGTTATCTTTGTAGTCTGCTTTAATTGTATATTTCTGTAGAGGCTTAGCCTAAAATTGCTTTATTGTTAAGCACTGCTTTTTAACTTGGCAGGGGGGGATTTAACCAGACCACATGTGCTATGCCCCTATGGTGGGGAAACACCCCTCTAACTCAGTCTCTGTTGCTCCAGAGCTATTTTTCTGTGGGGATCATAAGAAGGTTTGAGCATCAGATCCTTGTTCTGTTTGTACCTATATCAGTATAAAATAACCATACAGAATTTCTTTCCAGAAAATGCTCTCCTGATTTTATACCAGAGAAAATGGGAACGAGTCTAGCCCCTCATTTTTCTCCATGTGCAAAAGATCTTTTCTGAAGCAGAACTCTGAGGAGAACCCACTGATTTCAAGGACAAAAGTGATGTGAATTCTGACGTTTTGAAATGTTAATTACCTTCCAAAAAGACACTTCCTTCTAGTTCCTCTACAAAGCAAAGCATCCACACAAAAATAGGTCCACCATGTCTCAGCCACATGGTTTGAAAGGAATTTGTTTTTAAGAGTTCAAGAGATTAGCAGACACCTAAAAAAGGTGGAGGGTTTTTGTTGGAGTTTTTTGGGGTTTTTTTGTCTGAAAGCTGAGCATCCAGCCCACACAAGTTGTCTTTTCTAGGTCACTCTATAATGCCAAGGTAGGTGAGATGAATGGTGACTCATCTCTGAGATACTGCTGTTATCTAGACTACATTATGACAATTCAGAGTAGCTGTCTCTCTTTAGAGTTTTAAAGTTAGGTGAGATGACCCAAAGGGTAGCTTAAGCTGGCAAAAGTTATCATGCTGGAAAAAGTGAAACCACCTAAATACAACCTCCACTGTATGCTTAAACTAATCTCTGTGTTCAAGGCACAGGGTGAACCCTCAAACTGTTCATACACCAGTGCTGGCCTCTCCTGCATGCCCACACATCCCACAGGGTAGGGTGGCTACCTACTTGGAACAACGCTGAGTCGAATTCCAAGGGGCTCCCTGGTAGAGAGGGGACCCTGGTTGCTGGCCAGGAGAGTGCTAAGAGCTGAGGAGGCACTAAAGCTCATGGCAAACCAAGGTCCTTGCTCCTTTCCTACCATTTCACCTTCCCTCCCCATGCTCACCGTTGAGCCATTTTCTCTTTGCAGGTAGCAGGAGCCCTTGTTTCTGCTCACCCACGACAATGTCATGACAGTTGGATGGACAATGTCATGGGTTAGTGGCTGCCAAATGCTTGCCCTCCCCTCCTCCTGCTCCATTCTCAGCCTGGTCAGGCAGGCATGGGTCTCACTGACAGCTTCATCCCCATGACCTGCTCAGGACAGTGCCTTGAGGTACCTCTGTAGGGCCAGTAGCTAGGATCCCTCTTCAACCTTACTTGTCTCTTCCATTTTCCACTAGCTCCCACCTTATGGAACTGGAATATCCCAAATAACTGCTTTGACCTAACCTGACACCCATCCCTGTTGCTAGGAAGTGAATCCAGGTGACCCATCCATCTGAAGCAATGGAAAACCAGAGAGAGCAGGGGAAATAACTGCTTTGACCTAACCTGACACTCATCCCTGTTGCTAGGATGTGAATCCAGGTGACCTATCCATCTGAAGCAATGGAAAACCAGACAGAGCAGGGTGATGAAGGCTCTTCTGTATTTCATTCATCTGCACTGTGTCCTCCTGAAAGGTCAAAGGCAGGGCTCTGCTCAGGAGCAGCAGGCTCTGAGAGAGGGATTCCTCATGGAAATTTGTTTTCTGCTAGTTCTGCTGAGCCAGATATGTGTTTTTTTTCTCTCTTTGACT